TGTGACCGTCCCGTGGGGTGGCGGGCGTTGGGCCGCCGCGTCCCAGCGTCCCTCTCTCTCTCTCTCTCTCTCTGTCTCTGTCCCTTCATGAAGGGCAGATTGTCAGGGCTATTTCTGGAGGGCCTGGAAGACGGCGCCCCACGGAGGAAGTGGCTGCCCACAGGCAGGCACCGCTGGCAGCAGCACACATGCACTCCTGTCTTCCCTCATGCTCGCTCGCTCGCTCACTCGCTCATCCTGCTGCAGCTTGACCTAAACTTGACACACAGCTGCTTCGTTCCCCGCACGACGCACTTGACGCCACGCCAGGAAGTCGTCACACATTTGTAATCACTGGAGAAGGAATGGAAGAAAAATAAAACGGAACCAAGAAATAAAATATCGTAATGTTTCAGTGTATCCATATTGTCTTACATCCCTAACGGACCGCGACGACTGTGTCGTTTACTGACAAAGCGAGCACCGCCCCACAGGTTGAGGACGACCTGTCCCTCTAGGATGTTAATTATCTGAGGTACATGGTGCGCCTGCTTTTATTTTGAAGGAGTCGAGGTTAAATGTCAGCGTAGTGGAAATACTGTGTACGATAGAAGGTACATGACAACACAGTTATCAGAGAAAACTACGAGTCTTTTTTTCATGTGGACATTTTTCACTGGGACAATGAAGTAAAATATATGACGATGAGAGAAAGACCATCGTCCAGACCAGGGGTCACCGACCTTTCTGACACTGAGACCTACTTCAAGGACACATGATGATATAGTAATAACAAGAGTTACTCGATCGACACAGACTTCCAGAACAATCTCATAATAATCATATTTACATTGATGAGTTTAGCAGACGCTTTCATCCAAACATTACATTGGTGTTTAGCAGATGCTTTCATCCAAATGGACTTACAGAGAAGAATTAACATCATCAAGCTGGATAATTCCTCTGGGAATCGAACCCAGGACCCTCTGCTCTCTGCTGCAGGCCTGCTAACCGCTACACTATGGAACCATTATAAACTAGTTCTTGGACATACAACGGTAGTGTAACTGATTCAAAAAGAACAGTAACTGTATTATTTTTGACCCTCTTGTTGACAAGTTTTATTTTTATTTTTTCTCCCTTAGGTAGTCCACGGTGACCCCTGGGCACCACGTCGGTGACCCCTGGTCTACATCGATAAGAACTTCCACCAAGAGAGTGTTTTAGGAACTCCGTCTTTTCCGTCTGTCGACAGTCAGTGATTTCACACAGTGACGCAGCAACCACAGCAACAAAACTCCGTTACTACACTCAATGGCAGTCAGTGATTTCACACAACCACTGCAACAAAACTCCGTTACTACACTCAATACTACGTCACGCTGTAATCAGTGTGTTACGTTGTTACCCTGAGGCCGAACACGTAGTAAACAAGCAGCAGTGTCACAACTTCAGAGACAAAGACAGAGACAGAGACAGAGACAGATCAGCTGCAACTGACAAACATCTCTGTCTGTTCACAGGCCTCTGATCTTATGAATGGTCCCAGGTTGACTACGACCTGTCTGTGTGTGTGACGTGTCTGTGTGTGTGTTTGACATGTGTGTGTGTGTGTCTGACGTGTGTGTGTGTGTGTGCGGTCGGTGTTCATACGAGGCTGTGTATGGAGGAGCTGCTCCTCTGACCTGAAAACAAGCGTCGTGAGTCTGTTCAGATCTGCAGAAGCAGCAGAGACCCACACCCTCACACTGTCGGGGCCCGGGGCGCACAGATGGGGTGACAATAGGGCCTGTATGCCAGCATCTGTGTGTGTGTGTGTGTGTTCACTGAGCACACACGAACCAAACTCGCTTCTTTTCCTGGTTTCGTTTCATGATTCTGCAGCACTGTATTGATTTTTTAATAACAGATTTTTGTGTTGCATTTTAACCTGTAAGTTTGTACGTTTTTGAGACTTTGTTTTAAGTAATCTTGTTTTTATTTTAATTTGTTAAGATGGAACAACATTGTGTGTTTACTGCACAATTCAATATATTGTATGGTTGTCACTGTACTGTGATGTGGTATCGTATCTCCAGATTCACACAGCTCTAGTTTCCACGCTCACACGTCTCTCTGGGGTCTCCTTCTCTGCTTCCTGTTTGGACCGGTGCCTCTCTCTGGCCACGGGGTCTTGGGTGCAGTGAAGGTTAAAGTTGTCAAAACATGGCTGCACGCTTTTGTTCCTGAAGAGACCCCCGCTACAGGGACCACACCCCAGCAACTCCGGACTCTTCCTTCAACAGCGGTAGCCATTTTGGCTCTGAACTTTCAACTTCAGCGTCGACGTGGAACACACAATGTGGGCAACCTGACACTTTGAGGAGACAATGGCAACGGGTGAATGGAAGATTCAAGACTCAACCCTCAGGGTTCTGTCTGGAGACAATGTCACACGGTGACAGAAACTCTGGGCCTGCACCAGGGCAGGTGGGCAGCACGGTGCAAAACCCTGTCAGTGACTTCTGAATGATTCCAAACACACACACACACACACACACACACCGAGTAGGGGAGCTCGACACAAAACCAGAGCCACAGACAGGATGCATGTGATGTTTAGACAGAAAAGGAAACTCCACTGTGCTGCAGAATTCCTGGTATTCTTATGATTGAGGATCTTGAGACGTTGCCAAGACTTGTGGCCGAAGAGTGTTTTTAAAGCAGTGCCAGCAGCACTACAAGAAAAATGAAAACAAAATGAAAACAGCGATCACCTCCACATACACACAGACGTTTGGACATCAGTTTGGTCTCAGGATCACATCAGGGCTGGAGATTAAAGAAACGCAAACCATAGTCCCAGCGATGACAAACAAATTAAGAATCATTAAAGGCAGAAAATACATCAACATCAACAAACCAACGACAGCTAACGGTGACGTCTGGTCCGATCGAACGCCTCCTCCAGAACGCACAGAAATGTTGCAGTCAACGCTGTAACGGAAGTGCTACGGTAACACCAACAATCATTAGGTCTCTTAAATGTCTGGGTTTACAAGGCATCAGAGCCGCGGTCCATTAAAGCTACTGTGGCTTTATTGTCTGGCTCCCAGATGCTTTTTACAGGCTCGCTCTGCTCGCTGTTGCATCAAGGCCTGGTAGAACAGGAAAGCCACTTTCTGCAGTGTTTGCACTGTCCACGTTATGACATCCTGTATTTAAAAAGTACCTCAAATAGTTTAAGGGACTTCCATGAAACTAGTACTGTGACCTGCAGCAGCAGCATCAAAATAAACGTGGTGCAGAAATGTTCCTCTTTTGAAGAAACTCAAAAGCATCTTGTAAATTAAAAATTAAAAAAGCTCCAAAACAGCGCGTTCCTACTGAGAGGCTGAGTGAATATTTCATGTAAAAACGGCCCATTATATTCTGCACAGATTTAGGCCAAGGCCCACGATGACGGGAGGTGGAGGATAAAGAGGAGGAGGAGGAGGTGGAGGATAAAGAGGAGGAGGAGTGGGGGTTCAGATAACGGTCCCAACCACGTCCCAACAACACGAGAGCCCGGAGCCCCACATCAACCAGGGGGGAGTCAGGGAGGGGCAGAGCCGCTGGGGTTCATTCACGAAACAGTTCCAGAATAATGATCACAAACTACGCAGGGAACTTTTTATTCCCGGGTTCACGAGACACAAATATCAACAGTTTATGGTCCATCTGTCCCCAATGAGTGGCCGGTGTCTCCTGCAGCCACAACCCTGACAGAACATCAACCAAGTAGCGGTTGATCGTGGAAACATTTAGCAGCTCGTGTTGTTGACGTTAACAAGTGTGGACGACACAAAAGAGGAGGAAAAAAACTGAACAAATTCACACATTTAAGGTCTCAGCCGAACAGACGGGACTCCCTCCCCGTCCCGGGCTGGTCCGGCTACGTTAGCCCTTAGCAACTTTGCTGTCAACACAGCAGACGTGTTTGTTTAGCTTAGGCTACAAACTGCATGCTAGCTCTGGTTCGTAACCAAATAGTGCAGTTGAAGCGTTTCCATGTGAGAAGCGCCAGACGCCAACTGACAGGCGAGACTTTAAGCACTCTAATCCCGCGAGGCCTGCGCATCCCCGGTCTCCAGTGACCCTGTGACGCCGCTCTGACAGTGCTCAGCGTCGGTCAGCTGTGAGCAGTGAGCCGCCTCGTCCCCGCCTCCTTCTCAGCCAGCGCTACACCAACAGCTAACGCTAAGCTACCATCGGAGGCTAAACTCAAACACTTACCTCGCTTTTCTAGGTCGTAGCCGACAACCACAAAGTAGTCCGCGAGCCTGGCCATCTTTGGAGCTCACGGCGACGGGCCTCTCTCGCTGTAAACTCTGCTCTTTCTACCGTCAAACGTCCATTTACGTCCTGCCGGCAACGGCCACATCACGGGCGACAGTAGCATCCTTCCAGCTGCACCCCGCCGCCATACTGTCACAGAGTGCCGTGCCCTGACAGCAGAGAGCCGCGAGTCTGCGCACTAGTCACAGCAGTCACAGGGAGTGGAGGGGCCGCCCCACAGGAATGTCCCACCAAGACAGGAGCAGGAGCAGGAGCAGGGGCAGGGGCAGGGGCAGGAGCTGAAGCCTGGGGGCCAAAAGTGTAGAAACACAGCGGCTGCTCCGTGAATGGAAGGAGCGAATCACAGAATAATATAAAGTACAGCGTGAAACAAATACCACAAAAAAAACTTAAACCATATCAACCATATCTACTCCGACCCTTTAACGACTTTAACGATTGGTCGCACAATGTTCATCTGCAGTGACGCTGCGTTAACGTTAACGTCTTAACGTGACGTAGTGTCGAGCTTTTAACGTTAAAATGCGCGTATAATAAGTTGGGATTGTAACAGTGGAATCTTCATAATTTTAATTTATGAATAAAGTAAACTCTTGCCTGTTTTTTTCTGCTCCACACTGACGGTGCCTTCAGTGGCCACTTACAAAAATATGTCATGTCAATCAAACCTTCATGAATCAGAACAAATCAGGGGGTGGGCGGGGTTTCTGTTACATGAAAAACGCATTTTCTTTTTCAGGAAACTAATTTAAAAAAATAAAAAATTATTGTCATTCCGCTGGTAATATCCAGGAGCTGATTATTTTGGTGCCCCCTCCTGGACTCCCCAAGCAGATGGTGTGTGTGTGTGTAGTTCTACATGATGACGTCAGTTTGTCTGACCGGATGTTGAGTTGCTATACTGAATGGGCACTTAACGTAATTAAAAAAAAAAATCTACCACTGTCATTGGTCCAATTAAAAAAGGCAGTTTTTAAAAAATATTTGGAGACTTTAGTATTAATGTACTTCAGAGATGAAAATATAAATGTCAATATTTCATTTTTCTTCCTTATATTGTGATTATTGGTCAGTGTTCTGTGGACTGTAGCCCCCCCCCAACCCCCCGACTGTCAGCACAGCAGCAGCCTTGAGAGAATTCCAACACTTCCTGTGCTTTGACCTCTGACCCTAACGTGCTTATCACTCCCTGGTTAAAAAAAAACAATCACGATCATGAGATGTCACATTTTTCTTCAGCAGCGTTTTTGTTTTGCCAACTGCTGTTTTCTCCCACAGCTGCTGCAGCGGAGGAGCGCCGCGCCGCACATCAGTAAACACGGCCTCCGCTCGGCCACAGCAGCGTTCACAGGAGATAACGTCTTCAGAGCCGTCTGTGAACGCCGTCCACGGGGAGTCACGCCGAGGTCACGTTGGCCCCGGTTCTCACTGCTGACTTGGACTGAATCCCGACCTTGAACCGCACTTGACTCGCTGCCAAAAGATATTCAGGGTATTATAGAAATTAGAGATAAAAATGAGAAGTTGAGTCAAGAAGACGGTGAGGGAGGAAGTCGGGTTTCCTCGGCCCCACTCTGCAAACGTGGTATTTACAGACGTTCCCTTTTACTAAAATAAACGTGTCTATAACGTGGTTTTAACTGGAAACACAGAAAATATTGTTTTTATTTCTTAATCATCCAGATATGTCAGGGTTATTTTTATATTCTGTCTCAGAGGTGAAGACGGTGAAGAATCTAAAATCACCTGCAGATTCAGAAGTTTTGTTTTTTTTTGTTGTTGTTGTTTTTTTTCCTTGCTACATGTTTTTAACCTTCATTATGTTTCATTCATCTTTTTCATCTCTGTTTGACTGTTATTCTACATACATGAACTTCCTGCATGTACGTCCTGGAGAACATACATCTGTATGCAGTTGATCCCACCATCTTCACACTGATCTCAGGCCCTGACTTCACTCTTCAAACAAAGGTCGTTGTACTTTTCAAACACATTTACAGGAAGAATATTTTACTATCTAACAATAAACCCCTCGTGGCCACAGAGGCATCACCGTGTTACCTGATCATGATTTTCGTGAATAGGGAATAAAGAAGGGGAAAAGAAACTCAGCATCTGCCCCGGCTCTGATTCTCAATAATTCACGCAGACGTTCTACCTTGGAGTAAGTGCTTGCAGGATGTGAAAACCATGTGACTTCCTGTGCACTCGCCAACCTAAAAGGAAGTGGTTTGAAGGTCTTCTGCACATCAGATCTGTTGCAGGTCTCTCTGCAGCGCGTTGTTTCCCTCGGCTCAGGTGGAGCGTGGTGCGTGAAGATGACTCATTGACTCATGACAGGCGCTAGATTTGGACTTTGATTTAAGACGATGATATAGTCTTTGACTGAAAAAGATTTGAAAGATTACGATCAGTTATTAATAATCGCACACATATACAGAAGTGTGGACGTGAGCTAGCCTGATGGAGTTGAAGATGTTAGCTACGTCCACATTATTTTAGGAACACACAGTCATACAGGTGAGAGACTGACCAGTGTAACATTCAACACATGTTTAGGTGAGAGACGTATTTTCTACTGAAAAGAAATCAAAGGTAAAGATTGTTTTCTTTACCTTTTTTTTCATTGCGGCCCAATATGAAGTGAGCCCCGGCCCACTGCCAGTCTGGGAGCCAGTGGTTGGGGTACCTCTGTACAGGATCACTCCAAGGTTACTGGACTCCCACTGAACTGGAGGATACAGGACATGGATCAGTGTGAGTCAGTGAAATGACCAGTGGGTCCAAATATAAACCTGTGCTGATATTTATGACCCTTTTTTATCATAAATATCCTGCATCTGTTACACGTAAAAAAAATAATTAAAAAGAACAAAGTTCAGAGAAGTAGAAGAGGAAACATCAACACACATAAAAATACAAACATGAAGAAGAAATAACAGACCAGAGGTCAAAGGTCACGTCATTGAGTCACAGGTTACATCATCATCAAACTGACAGTTAGAGCAAAAGGGAAATTAATGAGGAAATAAATGACAGAAAGGCCAGTTCAAATGACTGGAAGCAGATCAGTACAGTTTCAACGTGCTTCACCAGGGGGCAGCAATCAGTAGACCTTAGCATTTATGGCTGTTCAAGGACAAAAGGTAATTTAAGGCCATTTAGTAGAGGGTTTTAGCATAAAATGGTCCATTATTTAAAAATATGTTTTTGTGTGTTTTTTTACATCTCATTTTTTATGACTTACTTTTCAGACAGTTAACTCCTATTCTAAATGTTATGGTATTTGTTAATGTATAACTCTTACCAATAACTCCTGTTCTAAATGTTATGGTATTTGTTAATGTTATAGTGTACAATATTTTAATTAAAATGCTTAATTATTTATATATATATATAAACATATATTTATAAAAACTTTCATTTTTAGACCATTTCTTGCCACTGAAATGGTTTCTCTGCTCAGACAAGTCGTTTCCTCCGTCAGACTTTTGTTTTTTCATATTTCATTTTCAAGTATTTCTCATAATAAACCAATGAGAACTGCAACTATTTTTTATAACCCACTCATCCGAAAATAATAATCTGGTCTGGATTATTTCTTATTAATATTAATTTCACATCCCTGTGTCATTTCCTTCTTCAGTGAACCCTGTCACAGTCACTGGACAGTTTCATGTCGTCACTTCTCCAGTGGTCTTCAGTTGTGTTTGTTTGAAGTGGACTTGATTTCATTCACGACTGACAGGGATTACGTCAGTGTCTGTCGTGCCCGTCGTCCCACCTCATGACAAAACACTTGTTGTTGGGACTGTTTTCATGACCTTTGAAACGGCAGAGGAACCGACAGAATCTCATTTTCTTTTCTCCCAGTGACGTTCTCTTTTTTTCAGGGGTTGGCACAAACGTACGTTTGGTAATTGCCGCCTAAACAAAAGTGAATCTCCGACTGAACGATCAAACCGTGGCTCGTGTTTGAAGCCGGGGCCAGATTCACTGGCTGCAGTTACAGAACTCTTACATAAAAAGATCAGGGTTGTTAGGAAGTGACCCGCTTCCACAGAACCACTGATTATCAACGCCGCTCTATACAGACTTTTTTCTGCAATCAGCAGAGTCGCCCTCTGGTGGCAAATTGCCAATTCTTGGACTTCAATAATTATTATTTAAGTTTTGCACTTTCACATTTTGGTACTTTCTTTGAAATGCAGTTTCTTTTTGGTATCACTTCCTGTTCCCCTGTTTTACAATAAGCTCCTCAGCAGCTTGTGTTTTTTTCTCTCTTTTTTAGTTTGAAGGTTTTACCACAAATGAACCTTTTTAAAATAAAATACCACACAGAGAAAAAAGAAAAATCCAATTTCTGTGCAGCCTGGTTCCAAACATTCCACGGCCACTGGCCCAGGAAGATGTTCACAAGTCTCTTTTTTGCAAGTCCAGTCCCAAGTCTTTGTGTTTGTGAAACAAGAACCACTCGAGTCCGAGTCGTAAACCCGAGTTCCCAGTCAAATTTCACCGTGTACTTTTATAAACCTGTCACACTTGAAACTGATGTCCTTGTTCTTTCGACTCATTTGATTTAATTCAAAAAGAACGTGAACTATTTCAGAAAAGTTTCATTAAGAGATAATTCTGATATCATTAACTCTGATCATGTGATCACATGTGAGCAGCTGGGTATGATTGACAGCCGGGCTAAAGAGTCACCTGCAGGTCACTGATGGTATTAAAACGTGTTTTTGTGCATACTGCGTTCAGATGAAACAGAGTGGATCAGATGAAGGTCTGGGCAGAACCAGGACACTGTGAGAAACTGGCACCGGTCGATGACAAATCTGTCTGAAGGAATATCACTCACACCGCACCTCAGATCACACCAAAGGACGGGAACGCCAAACATTAAAGGCTGGAGACTCTACACTGACGGCCGCGGCTCAAAGACCTCACCGACGTTCTCACTGTGATTTATTATTTTATTCTGTCAGGGTTTTAAGAAATTAATCCGCTTTCTTTTCACTGACGTCAAACGGAAATCCGACCAGTGCGACTCAAATTTTGGACTTGTTTTGGGCTTTGATCTTTGTTCAATTGTTTTTTGACATTTAACAGTGTGAGAAGATCAAACACCAAAGAGTTGTAATTATTGTGTGGAGTACTGGACAAATATTCCTGGTGACAGTATTATCTAAAATACTAACGCATCGCGATATTCCAGTGTATCGACATTTTCTTACAGCTCTACCTCCAGTCCAGACGGAACATAAAATAAATTCACACCAGACCAGGTGTGGTAGAATCAGGATGGAAGTGTTTTCTCCCTGTGTTTTTGTTTACAAGAAGAAGACGTTCCGATCCTGACGTTAGCATCAGCACTAAACTAATTATCTTACAAACATGGCATTCCCAGAATTCCTTGTCTGTCGACACTTCTCTTTTTTTCTGTCTCCTGTTTTTGTTTCACTTTTTTTTTGACTGTTGACAACATGATCCAGAATCAAAGGTTGTGTAACACGACCTGAGGTGAATCGAGCCGCTGTGTTCATTCAGCAAGAAAAAGGAAAAGGACGAGCGAGAACACAAAAGGATCTCCACCAATCAGACGTGAGTCACGGGCGACAGTTAGCAGGAGCTACCTGTCAGGACGTGTCGTTAGCTGACTGCTGCCAAGATTGTCAACGATGCTGCCGCGTCAACAGCGTGACAGCAGATGTCCGTGTGGGCCGCGGCCTTGGTCTGGTCATATCAGTGTCCCCCACGCCGCCTGAGGGCGAGATAAGACCTGAGGGGCCGAGGGTCTGGACGGGAAGACAGAGTACTGAAGAAATTCATGAAGACACAGGTCTTTTTTTCCAACAAGTGCCTGATAACGCGCAGCTGTGTCAACGGACGTCGCAGTCATCGTACGAGGAAACGCTTCCGTCCTGGAAACGAAACTGTCGTTAAATGAAGTTCCTGCAGAACGACAGTTCAGATCAGATTAGAAAAGTTTAGGCGGTTTACCCGAACGCACGGGACTTCCTCCAGAAACATCCAGATGAAAATGAAACGAGGTTAAAGTTCAGAGGTGTGTGTGTGTGTGTGTGTGTGTGAGTGTGAATGGTTAGAAAACTGCAGTGCATTCTGGGATTGGCTCCTGATCAGGATTAACGTTTTTTTTTTTCAGAATATTTTTTTTATTTGGAGAACAGGTACTACTACAGTACAACTTTTTACTGTAGTGTTTGTAAAGTATTGTTGTATTGAATGAACTCTGTGTTTGTTTGTTTGTTTGTTCACTGCTGCTATGACACACACACACACACACACACAAAAGACATTTTGTCAACTCAAATTAAGTTTTTTTTTTCCTTTTCCTTCAGTGAATAAATGAAGACACACCTTTCACAGAACCCTCACCCCCCCTCAC